GGCCCCCGCTCGCCGCGGCCGCTGGCGGTGGGTTCATCCTCTCCGCCGCGGATTCCTGGTCCTCCTTGGGGGAGTCTGAGGTCCGTAGATGGTGGGAGATGCGGAGGGTCCCAGCCCTTTTCCTAAGGGGCAGTGAGGAGGAGGAGGGTGAAGGCAGGAGCCCTCCAGCCAGGGTGGCTGCCTGGGGACAGGGGCTCCAGCCCGATGCCCTCCAGAGCTGCTCCTCATTCTCCGATTCCGTCTTTGCGGCACCGGCTCCGACTCCTCCGGCTTTTAGAGCAGCCCCCAGTGGCCGCCCCCTCCCCAGCCAGGGAGGAGGAGGAGGAGGAAGGCAGAGCATGAAGGCTGCACCGCAGCCCGTGCTTGGGCACAGTGTCACTGCGGGTGCCGGATCCGAGCCCTGCGCCCTTCCGTTAATGACTTAATTCCAGCACCAGCGGTTGCTTTGCACCTTGGAGCCGTCTCCGCTCTCCGTTGCTCCCGCCGCGTCCCCTCGTTGCGGCTCTGACCCCCCTCTCCCTGCACAGGTGACCCCGTGTCCGGCGGCGGTGACAACGTGGTGGCGGCGACCGGCTCCCCGTGACGCCGCGGCACCGGGAGGCGCCGGGTGAGCGGGACGACGTGTGGGGCTGTCCCGGGGTTGTCAGGGCTGGAAAAGGGACAATTCAGGCAGAAGGGAGGGACGGAAAGTGCCATGTGCTCCCTCGGGGCCAACGCGTCCCCGTGTCCTGCTTTGTCCCCAGCCCGCGGAGGACAAGGACGAGCGGGACGTGTCGGCTCTGCCCTCGATGCTTCTCTGCAGAATCGGGCACCTTTTCCACTTCAGCCTCTCCCCGGGCACGGGGATTTTGGAAACGGAACCAGCCGCAGCTTTATAAAAGCCAGGACTCCGGCCGGAGCATGGAAAGCCCTTGGAAAGGAGCCCAGGGCAGTTTAGGCTTCCCAAGGTTTCCAGGGCAGCGTTGACCTCTCAACCGCTTCGCTCACGTTCCCCACGTTCGGAGCGGCCCCTCCCGGGAACGAAGCGACGTCTCCGCCCTGGAGCCCTGGGATCAACCCGGCTCCTTCTCGCCTGTTCCCAGCAGGAAACCACAGGGGCCAAAGCCGGGGCCCCGGGCGCTACCGCCGCGGTCGAGGTGTTGCTGCTGCTGTGTGTTCCCCGAGGGAGGCTGTGGTCACGGGCGTGATTCTCTGTGGGGCTGTTGCCTCTGTTCAGTTGCGGTTTTGCTGTTTTTTCTTTTCTTTTTAATTTATTTTTCTTACCCCAGGCTGGTTTCGGGGCACGGGCAGAGACCCTGTTTCTCAATTCAATAAAGTTGAGCGTTTTGGAGCGTGGGGGCCGTGCTGGAGCGGGGCTTGGAGCCCCCTCCACGTTATTCCACAAGCAGCCGCTCTCCTTCCAGGGAGGATTTGGGAATGGGGCCTGGGATTGCGGGGGCTACAAGGCCCCATTTTGGGGTGAATTGGGCTGGTTTGGGGGCAGAAACAGCAGCGGGATTGGGGGTGGAATTAGGGTACTCTGGGGGCAGACAGAGGTGCTGGCGGTTTGTGTGGGGGCGAGGGGGGATAAAGCAGCTTTTGGGGGAAAAAGTGCGA